GGTCCGCAGGGAGGAGCGGGGACGGCTGCAGTGTGGGGCATTGTGGTGCCCATTTGGGAAGGTTTCCAGCCGGGCATCTCTGGCACCTGATGCAGCCTGAGGGATTTCCTCTCATCTTACTACTTGTTACTTGGGAGAAGATACCAACACCCACCTCACTACAGTATCCTTTCAGGTGGACTCGGGTCTCCTGACTCTCCTTTTCTCCAGACTAAACAACCCCTGTTCCCTCAGCTGCTCTTCACAGGACTTGTTCTCTGGGTCTTTCACCAGCTTTGTTGCTCTTTGGATGCCCTCCAGCACCTCAGTGTCTTTCCTATAGTGAGGGACCCAAAACCGGATCAGATTGAAAGAGAGAAAAGCTATTAAGTAAAGATTTGACAGGATCTACATAATCTCATACTTTTCTACTGTGGTAATGCAATGAAGAAGCATCATCTCCAATGCAAAGAATCCTTTCATGCTCTAAAGGTGATACTTTCTAGCACAGGATAGGAGTTGGGGCCGGTCTATTGCTGCTTACTCATTTATGCTGTGGAGATGGACAAGAAGGCAGTGCTCACATCAAACCAACTCCATTTCCAACCATTATATGCTCCACATTGAATAAATGGCCACAGGCCATCTGCTTATCAAAGCAATGCTGAAGGGAGCAACTATATTTTCAGTAGTCTTAGGTGAGAGAAACAGCCTGTTCTTTGGATTAAGAAATGCTCCAGTTGAACAGTCTAGGTTTCAAAGACCAATTTCTCCAAAGCATCTGTAGTCGAAGAAAATCTGTTAAAGCTCTCTTCAAGTGAGAAAATGCTGTACCATCACTGACTGGTTCATACTTTACATTGTATAATCATTGGCGCTAAAGGTATATTGCAAAAATACGGTAATTAAGACTGGTTGCTGAAATTTAGTTACTTAACTGATATAAATATCAACAATCAGTCTTAATTACCAAATTTTTACAATATACCTTTAGTGTCTCTTCTAGTGTAGATTCCATGCACAATACAAGTGGAAATGGTTTATTAAACAGCTGAACTAATGGGATAGTGGGGGTTGTGTGTTGCTCAAAAAGAATTAGAATGTTATAGATGAAAAGCAACACTAAACTCTCAAACCAGTGGAAAAGCTGAAATACTGACATAATAATCAACATAGCTAACTTAAAAACATGGTGGCAGCTGTTAACTATTCTGGTGCAAATAAAAGCATTTGATTCTTGCCTGAGAAACCAAAACTCCAGTGATGATGGTTATACCCAAAATCAATACTTAGAGAAATCAAGTGTGTATTGGGGATCTAAAAGACAGGCATTTCTTACAGGGGTTTTACAAAAATATTTTTAAATACTATTGATACTCTACAGGACTAGACTTTTAAACAGTGTCTGACATGGCTAAAATGTTCATCTAAATGCTAGGAAGGTAAGTGTGAAACCAGCCCGCTAGGAAGGTGCACAGATTATACAGCTTTTATCTCTCTGGACAAGAACCACTAGAATGGGTAGAGCATCAAGCCTGAAAAATGAGAGCAGAGCCAATGTTTAGGGAGCATTTTCCAGAATGTTTGGGTCATCACAAGTCAAATATTTTCGAACAAAACTCTAACTTGGTCAAAAATGTGGTGTAGTAGGTTTGGGGTTTGTAGTTTTGTAACAGTGGTGAAAGTACAGGTTAAAGACCATGGTCATTGCCATGGGAAGGAATATGGCCTTTTAGAAGGTACTTGGACTAAAAAGCTATTTTAACAGATCAATGTGAAGTTTTACGTCAGCAGAATTGAGAAAGCCTTGGGAAAAAGTTTGCTAAAGTGCATTTGCTGTTTACAAAATACAGCTGATCTTAGTGAGTGGGTGCAGTCAATATTGTACATAATGATGAAGAGTAAAAAGAGAAACTCTTTACATTTCACAACTCTCCTACCACTGCATTAGAAGAATGCACAAACCTTACATAAGGAAATGAGCGAAACAAAGGCTATGAGTACATTCTTTTTTACTTGCTTCCAGAAGAGTATGGGGTTTAGTACAGAATTACTTAAAATATGTGTATGTAGCATGCATGGTGTGTACAATTTATAGCTGTAAAATACTTATATTATCCACTGTGGCATTTTCATTACATTACTGTGGCACTTGACTGAGATCTCTGAAGGTTGATCAAAAACCTGTGGGGAATGGAACTGCCCAGCCCATATCCTTTCTTCTCTTTTCTCTTGGGAGCCTCCTCTTTCTTCTCTCACCTGTTTTTGACAGTGTAGTAACTATATGCTTTATCAAGTCCAACAGAGTCCCAGTCAAAGTTTGTAATTCAGATCTACAAAAGCCTGACCTTTGTAGGACACTCTAAGTCACTTGTTGCTTTAAAGTCCAGTGAAGAACATGGTGATTGTGGTGGGTATTTCTGTTCCATTAGGAGTGCACTGGGATGCAAGAACTGGGCAAAAGGTTTGCAGACTGTGATGGTGAGTAGAAGGGGCTGCTTGTAAGGAACACCCCAAACTGGCATCAAATACTAAATACTGTGGGAAGTGATTTGGAAGGATGGGTTACTTAGTGGTGGTGAAGGCAGGGGTACCTCTCCTGGAGGTCAGGATCTCTGGAGGTCGATATGACTGGGTGAGTTTGTGAGCCATCCTGATGGAGGGCCAGAAGGAACAGCCAGTCCGGTGCAAGGCTCAGGTGGAAGCTACTTTAGCTCCATTTTTATTTGTCAGATCTCTTGTTATTGCAGGAGCCTAGGCTATGTGTAGGCAGCACTGTTTGCTCCTTCCTTATGGCGTGTTGTAGGTAGCATCTCTTCTGTTGAGGCACTTAGCTCCCTGAGAGGCTGGGGAAGACTCGGGTATGGAGAGGAAGAGTCCTGGAACAAGTACTCTGTGGGTGCTAGCAGAGGAAAAGCTTTTCTGTAAGGCTTCCTGCAGTTTTGGGGAGAGTGATGTTGGTGGTTCCCATGTCCTCTTCTCACCTTGTGTGTGCCAATGTTTTTCTTTGGGAGGAAGGCACAGTCACAGAGAAAAAGAACAGGCAACTGACTCAGCTGTGTATAAGGCCTTCAGTAGCCATATGTAGCTAGCTGGAATGGTGGGGCACTTCTGTCTAATTGCTGATGCTTGCGCAATTTGAAGGCATCTGAGCTTGGGACCCTCACATGTACAGCTTAATGTCCATGCCATTGGTGGCCTGTGTCCCACAGCAGGTTGTAAACAGTGCCAGGTAATAGAGTTAATGAGCTTATTCATTAAAGCATGGTTTGGGGAAGCTAGTACATGGCTGCTATTGTTCTCCTGGGCAGAAGCCATGTCTGTGGTGCAGAAAGGCAAGTTCTCCTTCACCAGGTGGTGTTGAAATTGTGTTGTATTTTTTGTGCAAACACCTATTAGCACAGGATCTGAACACCTGTGAGGAGCTGCTGCACCAGGATGTGGTCAGGTTCAGAGGCGCACAATCTGATGAGTATCACATTCTACCTCTTTAATCGCCACCCCACACAAATCTTTTTCTGGCAAATAAATCAAGGAGGGAGGTTGGTGCATGATTCATTAACATAATGCTCAGTACAAGGAAGACAGGAGGGAACAGGTGGAGACAGGACTTCCAAACGCTGTAGAAGCAGCTCTCTGAAGCAGCCTGGAGATGACTGAAGCTTTCTTTGAGGTTGACAGTAGGTTTCCTGTTCAGCGTTTTACTGAGGGATCTGAAGCAGCAAAACCCAATGGTTTTGGAGTAAATGTCACTTTTACCATCTTCATCTTTACCCCTGTGGTCTCCCTGTCCTTCCTGTCCACCCCCCTACAACTGCTCCTGCCTTATTCCCACCTCCAGACTTCTGCTTTCTTGCCCAGCCTTGCTGCTAGGTGCAGCCAAGCAAATGGGGACTCCAAGTTGGTAGTCCTGGGGAATGCAGCAGCTTGAGCCCTGCTCCACATCATGCCCTCACTACTGGTTTTGGCTTATGTGACCTTGGAGACCTGCCTATTGAAAAGAGAGAGGCTTCTGGTAGCTTCCAGAAAATTTCACAGCTAGCTGAAAATCACAGGAGGATTTGTAAGATTGTATGAATGTGGGAATGAGAACTAAGTGGAAATGTTTGACTTTGTTACTTAAATAACTGTTTACAAACAGGAGAGAACTTGTGTTTGCTGATAGTAAAATGTTCTTCCATGAGCAATGAGAACTTTACCAGCCCAGCCTTTTGGTTGAGTGTAGCTCAGTGGAGCAGCTCTGCCTGCAAGACACCCTTCCCTTCCCTGCCCCCTTCGCTTGGCTGCAAAATGAGGGTGATGGTATGTGACAACATTGCAGCAGCCTAGATTCACTTTTGGCATTTATACTGCTTCAAGCTTATGTTTTTTTCCCAAAGTGCATTTTCAACTAGTCTTAAGCTGCTTGCAGCTTTTGTTTGTGTTTGGCAAATAACTACAGCTAAACTAATAATTCAGAAATTAAATATTTCATATGGATATATTCAGAAAACCAATGTGTGGTGGTGCTCTTCCCTGTAGCTGGCTGGTGACAGCACTGCTAGTTAAGGCACAAAACCTAGTTTCAAATCCCATCTCTATATTTAGATGCAGAATCTGGATTTAAAAGCTATCATAGAGTGGCCTTGTTAATTGTCTGGGGGCTATTTTGGAATGGGTTTTTCTGCCTTTCTAGCCAAGCTGCTTGTGGAGGTGGGTGCAGTCACCAGGGACCAGTTTGTCACCAATCTGAAGAAATGACTAGCCCATGTCTGGTGTGCTAGGTCAGCTGTCATGGACTGTCATACTCTGTTCATCAGAAGTATTGGTTTTCTTCCAGTTACCTCTGTGCTACTGTTACTCCCAAGCACCTTGGAGCACTATTAAGT